TGCTCAGGTCCCTTCCAACCCTAGAAACTATGAAACTAATGAGTCTAGGGCACCTGTGGCAGCATAGGTATGTGTAAGGTTAACCAACCAAACAAACATCTTTCCTTACCTCTGACTTCATGACCTCCAATACACTATTTAGGGTTTTTTCTTTTCTTTTTTTTAAAAGTATACGTGAAGCAAGAAGAATGTGTGAAATAAGATCCAGTCATATTAAACTGCATGTCTCTTTTTCTCATAAAAACATCTATGTAGTAAAAAACTGCTACTTGCCTTAAATGCCAACTGAATCGTTTCCAAAGCTTTAGATGGCCTACATACTACTGATAGAGAAATCACAAATTCCCGCAGGTCAATTATGCCTTCTTCATTCTGTAAGGGGAAAGCAGCAAAACACATCCAGAATTTATTTTGTTCCAAAATTCTATTTACTTCATAGCCACTGAAAGAATGTTAGAAAGATTCAAAATATACAGTGCGTATCTGTGTGTAAAAAAGGCATGTATGTTATACTATACAGATCCCTGTAGGCTTTTAGCTCTATTCTACTGACAACCAATTCCAAACGTCCTGAGGCTCTTTCTAAAAACCCTGGTCAGAAGTCAGTCGAAAGCCAAAATTAACCTTTCAAAACTATTTAAGACTCTCATCAGACATCAGGGCACTGGTTACGCCAGGATGCATTTTTCCACTTCACACAAGTCATAATAGCTGGGACTCATCACCTTCCCTCAAATGGCAGTGGCCCTAAGTTAACCCTGCATATGAGTCCTGATATTCAGGAAAGGAAAGAACACCTAGAGACATAATAAACCTCTCCACCTCCTGTCACAGCTACCACCTTCTCTAGACAAAGAAAATGACCATCTCCCTGCAGTGCATCAGGCAGAAGAAAGTGATTTGACTTGCCAAAATTGCTGACTCCAAGTTTAAGTTGTTGCTGTTTTAGAAACAATCCATTGTGCTGATGAGCAGCCTGCACCACTAATAACCACAACCAGCAATGCCTTCACCCCAAGTATGCCTTTTTCATCATTTGTAACTTTAAACCAAAATGGCCGTCTGTTTTATATACCAGGTACCTCTTCCTTAAGCCAGCATTTTATTTAGTTAATTGGAATTCTCAGCATGTGATAAATAAGAGGCAGTGCAAGGATACAAAGGGTAAAATTCTCCAAAGTTTACAGAGCTGACCTTGTTGTTCCCAACATTTAGTGTGAGCAGACCGGGGTCAAGGTTGAGTATATGTTTTAAAAACCCAGCTGAAATGGTACAAGGAGATTCTTAGTTCTCTGAAGCATGGTGGTATTTCTTACCTCATCAAAAAGGGCAAACATGTTCTCCAATATGTCAGAAACTGGAACTTCCAAGTATGCAGCAAATTCCTTAAGACTGACCCCTGCACCTTTCATCTTTTTGGCACTTTCAGAATATTTTTCAAGATCTTTTTCAAGCTTTTCTGGTTTCAGCCTATAAGTAATGAGGGAAAAAGAAGGAAAGTTAAAAGGCTTTAAGCTAGAGGGTTTTTTTCCTTTAATTTTTAACCACAAAATACCCCTATCATACAAAATAGTGAAGAATAGATGTTATGTAATGCATCACTTCATAATCCCAATTCAGAATTAACAAAAACGCTGGAACCCCAATATAAAGTTCTAAAAACAGGCCCTCCCATACAATTTCCACTAGCTCAAAAGCACTTAAATATTCATTATTATTCACTTTACCGTAGTATGTGGGTTCCCTAGTCAGGGACCAGGGGTCCACTCCTGAAACTAGTATACTACTGTCAACTGCAGATTAACAAACCCCAACATTTTAGCGAGTGTTTAGGATTGGTTTTCAGGGGAAAAAATAAGTCTATGAAACTTTGATCAACAGACTTGTTTTGACTTGCAGATGACATGCTTAATCTAGGACAATGGGGGTGTCCAATGTTTTCAGCCTGAGTCCAAAGCAAGTAAGTGGGCTACTGCTCATATTATAGGCAGTTTCCCTGCTCTGTTTTGTTCTACTTTTTTACCATTCCAACAGCAAAGTAAGAAATCTTTTATAATTCTTCCCCCTCTCCCCTGCCCCACAACAGGAGAAACCGCCAAAATTTGTTCAGCTGCCATAACCAGCTCCTACTATTCTCTCTCTCAGCTCTTCATTGTTTCTAGGACTTCCCTGGTCTCCTCAGTGTCTGATGAGGACTGATTTTTGCTAGACCCCATGGAACCTCTACCCTGCTCTCCATAAGGAGCCATAAAGAAGCCAGAGCTACTGTATCTATCCCATGATGCAGTCACCAACCAGCAGAGTAGCTAATGAGCCTCTGTGCTCTAGGGAAGGATGGGAGAAGAGCTATTCAGAGAGATCCTAGCTTACATCAGAGGCTCAATTTGACACTGAAAAAGCCACTGAGGACTACCTTCTTGGGAAACTACCTCCCAAGAAGTACTGGGACTGATTCAGTTTAGTCATGAGTGGGTGCAAGTTAGAGGGCTTG